CGGTTATGTCCATGCGTTTCATCGAGCTATGAATTCTGTATGGAGTCCCGTGCATTAACGAAATGTAATGACCCGACAGAAACGGCCTCTCGCATTCACTTTGTCCGCCAACAAACTGTGTAATACCAACGCGATACACTCGGTCAATATAATATGGCGAATAATTTAGACAAAATCAGAGAGCACCGAGATCCAAGGGTATGGTTCGAGCGCCCACGAAAATCAACTCGTAAGCAGCGTTTATATATTATACTTAGAGTGTTTCATAACACGTACAGGGAAATTTATTTGTCGATAGAGGAGATTATACCGAATACGTGCCGTGTAAATATAATGTCGAACATTAACGGTTGGAAAGATACTGTCATTGGAAATCTTGATCGTTTTTTAAACCCCATTTAAATGAATTATAGTCTTTGGTACTATTAATTACTATTTTAATAATTGATAACATTTTCTGTATTTCGTTTAGAGATTGGATGTTATAATTCTCTCTTTTATTGATATTTGTTATGGATTTCGTTTAGAGAATTTCACCAAATAAATCTAGTTATGAGATACATACGATAGAAAATTCCATTTTCGTTTGGATCAGTGCGGACGCGGAAGTGACGTTTGATTGAAATATTCTTTATAGTTAAACGGAATTTTGTATGAAAACGGAAGTGGAGATATCCCTATGACGAGAATTCTAGATTATACTTATATAATATTCTACATGTGAGCACTACGAAATATCTTATGCCCACGAAAAATCTACTGTGAATTCCTTTTGACCCATTAACCATAGTGTGACGTTTAAATCATCTCTCGCAGCCCATCTAACAATTAATTAGAGCAGAAGGATGAAGAGACGTGTGGAAAATTTTAACACTCCATCTTTCTAACTTAGTGGTATGAAATAGGGTTTTACCTAATTGCGGTGGTTCACGAAAATATTTGTATGCTTACATTTATTCTATATAATGTGACATGTATATCAACGAGAAAGTCTGAAGATTATATCAGTTATAATGAAAAATTAATTTAGTAGATCATCAGTGGACTACAAAATTAGGTACTCCAACGATAGATAATAGTCGAGTGTTAAAGTCTACGATAAAAGTCGTAAATATATATATTCAAGTACGTCCCTAAGTCATTCTGTGTTTGAACCTCCGAAAGCATCGAAACATGTAAGTTCCACGGAAGGATCTGCGGATCAGCATCGCAATGCACATTGTTCCGAAGTTAAACTACGAACAAGGCGAGATTTAAATTATCCCTGTTAACGACGCGAAATTAAACGCGAGCTTGGATTCCCCAGGTAACTTTATTTGACCCACTGTCTCGCTAATACGTGAGATGTTCAAGGTAACGTTCGCAAATTGGACGCCGCCGCGCGTTGTTTGCATTGCGCGTGCACGCCGTGTGCTACACGCTGTTGTTTGCTCCAGCCCCGAAAGAAACAAACGTCCGATGCGTTAATGTATTCTATAGGCGTGGCCTGTTACACTGTTCCATCCCTTGCTTGTTCTTTTTCAGACGTTTCGACGCCAGAAAAAAGTTCTATCGTTGGAGTATTAACGTAGAGTAATCTAATAACGGCGAGTAATCTTTCTTTATGAATAATTTTAAAGCGAGGGTAATGCCGAATATCGAAAATTTACAGAAGTAGTAGGCATTTTATCGAAATTCTAAAGAATCTCTATTAAGACTTATAGTTTTCATGAAATATGCATGTATTGATCGATAATTGCACGATATGTATCCGTTCGTTGTTCCTCTTTTTAATTACGAAATAAAAAGTAAAATCTTTGTCGTTAAAAGAATCCCGTCCCGTTATCGCAAACAACTACAGAACTATATTACCCTGAAGAAGCGAAAAGTTACCTAAACGAGCGATATGAATCTCAGATTAATCGTCGTGACATCGCATTTTGTATGTGCTCTAATATAGAGCACGTAACGATAAACAGAAAAAGAAATTCCCCGCTCGATGAGAAACGAATGTCCGATGCGTTAATATATTCTACAGGCGTGGCTCGTTACGCTCTTTGTATCCCTTGGTTACTCTCGCTTGGACGCTTCATTGACAAGAGAAAAAGAGAAAGAAGAAAGAAAGAAAAAAGCAGACAAGTGTATCGTCATGTAGGTACCTTATGGATTCACATTCGACAAGGATATACAGCTTCGTGTTCCTCGTAAACATTTCCATAGCGTTGCCCACTTACCCGCTTCTGACTTGAATCACGCTTTAAACGCGCTGATAAATATGTATATTAAAGTCGGTGATAAACATAATTACACCGGGCTCGCCCCTTTTTCGTGGTGGTAAAGCCCTTCCGCTTGGGCGGCTAGGAAATTCATAATGTTCGCAAGAAATTGATGCACGCGAAACAGCGAAAGAAAAAATACTCCGAAATTAGTTCGTGTGTAAACGATGTTAAAATATTTCATCGTGTTAGGCGGGTAACGCGCTGAAATTTCGCGTTCATCGCATAAACAGGATAACCGTTCGCAAAAAATATTCCGCAACCGCGAAACTAGCGCTGTTGCAAATTTGAAAAATTACTATGTGCTCGGTGTAAAAAGAGCAGGCGATACCGGCACGAAGGAAGCTCCACTAAAAGGAGAGCGTAGAGCTGTTTTCAAAATTAATTCAGACACGAGATAGATAAAGGAGAGTTGGAGTTTCGAATGTGAACCGTGGGAAATGTCGATGTTGGTCAGTTAGTATTATATTACTCGAACCAAAGCTTTCAGACTATCAAGACGCGTATCTTCAAAAACCAGCGTTTTCTAGCCTCTATAACAACTATCAGGGGCTAACGGAAAGAGTAAATGACATCATCGCCTTTTTATTAATTCATTTGACTAGGACATAGCGATTAATTCCATTGACCATAAAGAATTTTACTAGGCTATTGATATATATTATATTAATATCATTTAGTCAGTAAAACAGTATTCGACATTAATGGGGTACTACTCATTCTTTCATACTCCAGAAGTAGCATCAGCTGAAGTCCAACCAGTGTTGCGTGAATATGAGACGAGTTGGTTTAACCAGAACAGGCTCACCATTCCATTGAAGTCCTTGTGCTACTTGATACATGCCGAACAGAAGCAACCAGTTGCATATTGAATTTTAATCTACCTGAAACAAGTAGAAAATCTCTTCTAGCTTAATTAGCTAACTTGTCAATGTTGGACAGAAGACATTCGACAATCGACTTCTATTGATCTCGGGAAAGATGACAAGTTCGATTTCAAAAGAAACTTCTGCTAACTTCATGGAGAAGTTTGCTTAGCCCTGGACTTAATTTAGACATAACTCAAACTCTCCCAAGGAAATGACAAGTCTATTTCGGGGGGAATCCTGGCAACGTGTACGAGAGCAGTATTTCATCCGGACGTAACCCAGTCCAGACCCACAGGTAGTCTACGTCTAACCCCGTAGTCTAGCCCCGACCTAACCAGCTCCTAAATCAGATCCAATTCAGGCCTAACGACCGGCGACAACTGTGCGACTGAAAATCTCGTTATTGACGTATTAAGATACAAACGTTCCAAAGATATATTTTATTTAGGTATCAGTACCTTCGAAATTCTTAAATTGATCAAAATAACGATACAGATTGGGGTTAGATTGTAATTGACAAGGTAGCGATTTTAAAACAACATGTACAAGAAATCTGTTGAACTTGAATCTAACCTAATTAGCTAGTTCTAATCAAGAACTAATATAAATATCGCGTTGATAACAATGCAGAGGGAGAATGAGACAAAGATGTACGAAAAATATATAAATAAATTGATTTTAGACATTGTTCGGTAAAAATGCATCTTTTGATATAATTTCCAAGAATAAACGAATGCAGAGGTATAGAATTCAATGTATAATCACGTTTATTCTACTTGATTACGAGTCAACATAAATTGAATCGAATATAATCAAATTAAATCAGTCTAATTCAAAGTTTGATAAATATAATCTCGGGATCAAAAATCAATTAAGAAATATAATCGATTTATGGAAACAAATGTCAATGCATTTGGATACTCAAAACGTTTCAATTCGAATAAAAATTTAGTTAATAAAGTCCCTTAAAGCCGTAACTTCAATCTGAAATTAATGCAAATATAACCTCAAAATGAATCAAGAAACCGCAAGTGACACACTGCAATACGACCGCTTGGTACGGACATTTCACCTGAACCTTTGTACGAAACTCGATCCACTTTGATTTTCAAGAAACAACGACTTCGATTCGAACTTCCAGCAAAACCGGGGTTTCTACTTAACCAGGTCTACCTCCAACGAAACCACGAACCAATTGAGAACTTCATTCGACACGCGAGAACTCAACCGTCTCGATTTTGGTGACGCTTCGATACCTTTCGATACAATCGACTAGCGTTAAGGTTGTAATGGCAACACGATTAAAACAGCTAGCAGCGCATACTAGCGGTGACGGGCAGGGACACGCGAACGGACGGGCGAGGGATCAGAAGAGCAAACAGACGGCACGGAACGTAGAAGAAGAAGAAGAAGAAGAAGGAGAAGCGTTAGGAAGAAAGCAGGAAACAGGCAAACAAAGTGGAGAGCTTAGGCAAGAAAAAGCAAGAACCGAGCGAATAAAAGCTGTGCACGGAAAAGAGAAAGAGGAGGCAAGAAAGAGGAGAGGAAGGAAGGGAAAGAAAAGAGGAAGGAAGGGGAAGAGGAGGTGGAAGGTTTCTTCCTTTTCAAGTCTCGCCATAGTCGACGATAGTAGAAGGCGCGCGTGGCAAAGTAAAACGAACGAGTAAGAGAGAGCAAGAAAACGGTGTAGAAGAGGTTAGAGAGTATAGAGTATAGAGGCTGGAAGAGCTAGAGTGAAGCAGAATGGAGCAGAATGGAGAGCGCGAGACGCGTAGGTACACGTACACGGTAGCTGGCGTCTATATTTTATATCCGGTACACGAGAAATGTCGCTAGGGCGCAGACTCGAGGCAATCGGGGTCGGTCGGCTCGCCAGTTACTTTTCGCGATCCACCGTGGCCGCTCTGCCGCGGCGCAGGTACACACAGGTCGGACGGTCAGTCTCACCACGGAGTTCGTCAGTCCGACGACGGATAGGGAAAGGGGAGAACGTAGTGTTCGCGCGAGATCTCTCGTATCTAACCACCAACGCTCCTCTCTCGAGATTTTGCTTCGCATCTCGACTCGGATGCCCCGCATAGAAGAACCTCGACGGCAGGCAACGTACGAACGTAAAGGAAATCGAGCAACGGGTGCGCATGTTGGCGTGCGTTAACATACGTTAACGAGATTAACACGCGTTAACAGAGGTTGACACACGAGGAAGAAATACGCACGGGGAGGCAGGAGAGAAAGACGATAGTGGCACGCGAGAGAAGAAGGCGGGAGGCAGGTGAAAAGGGAGAGAGAGTAACTGTCAGCTTACCGATTGTACTGGGGCTGCATCTGCCGCACAAAAGCACAGCTTGCGCACTGTTACGCCGCGTTACCGAGCTACTTGCGCGAACCACTGAACTGTGCCGCTCGGTCATCCCTGCCGAGCCAGTCGAGAGCTTTCGTGCGAAGTGTTTACGTCGTCGCGTGGTGAAACACACGCTCCTGTTACCGCCTGTCTGTTTCTACTGTTCGCGTTATCCTTTCGTGTGTTCCTCTTACGCGTTTCCTTTTACCTACTTTGCGCTGATTCGTCTTCTTCTCTTCGTTCTCTCCTTGTCGCGTTCTGTTTGCGTTCTGTCAGCGGTTAAACAACCGGTTAAGCGGAATCAGCTGGTGACGTTGTTTTGTTTTGGACTGTATCGTCTCATCACGTGTGACACGAGCTTCTATCTACTACATAATCTTATATATACTCGTGAATGTCCGTAAATCAGTGAATCGTTTCGATCGACTCGTTTTTTAGCTCGTAATCGTGCATCCTAGTCGTGTTTACGTAGGGGACAGGTCTTGCCGCTGTTCGAGAAAGTGAAACGAGAACGAAACTTTCTTGTCGCGTGTGAGGGGTAAAAGGATTGAAAAGTCCCGGGGCAAACTGATCGGCGGCTAAGCGTGTTTCGACGAGAAAAAGTGCAGTGAAATGAGAACTGTTTGCCCGGTTTTCTGAATTGGTTAATATCTTCTTAACGCGACGCGACGGTAGAAAGCGTACGCGCCATCACATTCCCGTAGGATTAAACCGCGCGTCCATCCACGGAACCTTATCGTCCATCGTGGTGCTGTCGTTAATATATGCCGTTCTTAGCTCGCGTCAGCGTATGTGATACGGCGACGCGCGAGTAAGGGAGCCGTTTGGTCGATCTTGGTGAACTGTTGTGCGGCAAAGTGACCTCCACAAAGTGCAACGACGACAAAACCATACAGCCTCGAGACGTGATCGTCAGCATCAATGATAAACGGAACCAGAGCATCGAATTAAGGTGAGTTCCCTTGTGGTTACGAATACAAACTATACGTACCTATATGGATATCGGGCGGCTGGAGATATCTTTACCGCGCGATTCGATTGATTTGCAAACGTGAATTATTCGGGTTTGCATGGCTGGGATTTAATTAGAGAGCACGGCTGCTTCGAATTAATCGATGAGAATTTCGGGAATGAAATTATAATTGGCTAGGGTAGAACTATGAATTGGGCACACCTACGGATACCGTGAAAACATCGTGTCGATCGTTCTACCTTTTTTTATTCCCTTTTCTCGGTGATTCACATGTACACACACTTGGAAAATGTTTTTTCGATGTCGATTAATCCCTTTTGCGTTTATTCCCGCGCAAAGAAACAGGAGTCGCCCGTAAATGTTCCGTTTAATTAAACGATGGGCGCTTTGAGCCGCGCGTCGCATCGCTTGAGTCACGTATTAAAGAGAGAAGAAAGTGGCACGGTTCGTTATGATTTTTATATTTCCGGTATTTGTTCTATTCCCTACGACCCAGATACGAGTATACGCTTTTTTACACGGTTGGTTGAAGCGTCCCGACGAAATAACGATTGTATACCGAGTAATTTCGAAGAGGGTTGCGGGGATTTGAGAGGACGTATTCACGAGAATAAGCAAAAAATATTTCCTTAATGTGGCTTTGCGCATTGATTTCGTGTACTCTTTTGTTATATTTTAAAATCTTACAATAAGGTATTGTTTATCATTACATTTAGTTGGAAAACGGTGTAAAAAATTTGGGAGTGTGCAGCATTTGTGAAGGTAAACAGTAGAAAAGTCGTTAATGTAGCGATCTGCAAATATAATTCTTATATTTTCTTGTTTCAAGTTGAAACATTGCAATGAAATACCTGTGTCTACGTACAAGGATTTGAACAAATTACAAATATTATATTACCATAAAAATATTGAGACGATCTAAAAGTGTACAAATGCACTTTGTGCGTCTTTTTATCATTTCAGTTTATCTCAAACGTGCAGTACCGTTGAACGCGTCTGAGCAATTTTACGGTATACTACTTAGGAATTCAGTTGATAGAGAAATCAACGTAGAAATTCTACGAGGCGATCTATGTTAAAATAAATCCGAAACACGTTAAACACGGAACCATGTTTATTTCGGGAAGTTATTATATACGTCGAATTTCTTTGTAAACATTTTATAGTTTCTGTCACGATACAAGACGTTACATTATATCTTTACATTATATTGAAGCCGTTAACCGCAAATACAGCAATTTCTCAGTGTCTGCAAAGTATATTAAAACAGATTCACGGATTTACATTAACCGGCTCGCGGCTTGTCTATTTTTATGAGCGTTATACACTTTTAAAACGTTCGACCCATTTTTCAGATCGCCCCCGTATTCTTAAAGCTTCGAAACTAAAGGAGATGCTCCTTTCCCTCGCAAACCTTCGAATTCTTCGAGAATCGCGCGAAACTTTCCCACGCGGCTGTACCGATCCGCTTCGAGCTCGCACCTCCGCCGCTTCTCTCTCTTTTCTCACGGATAAATTTGATATTTTGCGACCGAATTTATTCGTTTCTCACGCTTCGACGTTCCTCAATCGCAGGTACAACATTTTTCAACGATAATTCCACGCGTCTTCTGGTAGTACTTTTGTTAGTATGCTTTATGCGACATTTTTCACTGCGCCGTGACATGAAGGAAATTTACAAATATTCTTATAAGATTTTAGGGATTTGTGATACTTATAAATCACAGAATTTTTAAATATTTTACTATCTTCAGTAAATTCATAGCTACCTGAGATATAAAAATAGTTATACGATTATCTTAGTCATTAGTTTATGATCATTAAAACTAGTATTTTTTGCAAATATTCCCACACACATAGACAAGTATTTTTGTAGAATTGTGTAATGTCAAAAATATTACGAGCAATGATATTTTATGCAAATTGAAATTTTGTTGTTCCAGGTGGTAGATATCATATTCAGTACCTTACTATGTTTTCTGCATTTTGAGCGTATTAACGTTGAATTAGTATTGATTTCAGTTAGCCAGAGATCTGAAAAAGGATTGAGAGTTAAGAGCATTAAACAGTCACACATTCATACTTAAACTACGAGATCCTTTCTCAGTAAAGCAGTCATTGAAAGAAAAGTAGTTTATAACCTTTAAAGGCGTTCAAAAATTCATTGATTACCTCGTTACTTTGCAAACAGTACCCTCCTTTGGCGATGAAACTTCTGAAATATTAGAGAGATAATAGATAATGTAAAGCTGTACAATATTGTGAAAAGTATTCCGGTGAAAGAAACTCGTACCGCGGATCTTATATTAATAATCGAAACGCTAAAAAAGGTCTTTACCTACAGCAAATATTTAAAGTATTCCAGAAAGTATAGAATATATCCAAGCTCTAACATCTTTCTCCTATTTCTTTACAGTCATTCTTAATTCAAATAACGTTCAACTTTGCGGCCATAATACTGTATTTACTTTGCAATGGTTCAAAGCTTGACTCTCTCCCTCTCTCTCTCTCTTACATCTGCTTTACTTAATCGGTGTATCGAAGAATACTTTTATCTCTTTAACAAATGTTTTAGGTTAATCGATTATCGTATTATTGTGAATTAAAATAAATAAAAATCTGACGATATTAATTTTATGGCAGCGGCTGCTAATACATTAAAAGTAAAGTTTACCGCAAATCTCCGTAAACAATCTGTCAAACAACGCGCGGGCTCCACGCGACCATGAATCGCGTTTTGCAAAACCCGCCAA